TTTCTTCCTTTGATCTTCTAAGTAACCATGATCGAGTATTTTGTTAAAGAAAGGTTTGGGTTGTTACCATGCTGCCTCTGTCACATTCTACTTTCCCAGGGCATTAAGAGATAGATGGTGGGCTTTGTGTCTGCCTGATATGTTGCCCTGAGAAGAGTGACAGAGCAGCTGGGAGGATATTGGACTGATACATTTGTGGCACATTCTTTTCACACTGATTACCACCCAGAATGTGCAGCTCCTTGCTGGGCACTGTGGCACACACCTGTAATCCCAGCAACTTGGAGGCTGGGGAAGGAGGATGGCAAGCTCCAGGCCAGCCTCAACAACTTAGAAAGACCCTGTCTCAGAACATAAAAAGGAGCCGGGCATGGTAGCCCATGCCTGTAATCCCAGAGGCTTGGGAGGCTGAAGCAGGAGGATCATGAGTTCAAAGGCAGCCTCAGCAACAGTGAGGTGCTAAGCAACATAGTGAGACCCTGTCTCTAAATAAAATATAAAATAGGGCTGGGGGTGTGGCTCAGTGGTGGAGTGCCCCTGAGTTCAATCCCTGGTACCAAAACAAAAACAAAAAAGGCCCAGAAATGCAGCTAAGTTGCAGAGTGCCCTTGGATTCAATACCCAGCACTGGGGGGCAAAAAAAAAAAAAAAAGTTCAGCCGCAGGTGGGGCGAACTCAATGGAAAGAAGGGCAGGGTCAACAATGAGGAAAATGAAGACAGAGGGGGACATGCAGTCCAGAAACAGGCTTACAGGGTCTGGAATTTGATAGAAACCATCTGTGACTACATTAAAGGGAAACAGAATGGACTGCCTAATTTCTTTAAATGAGTTATTGAACAAGGACAATGTCTCATTTTTCCAAATGCCAGATGCTGGATAGCAGGTCAGAAGCAGGAGGACGCAATTGAGGCTTCTTGGATGAACAAGACACAGAGTGAAATCTACCCAGGCACTTCACGCACCTCCTACTGGTTCCTGCCACCTTGGATAGCTATGTAAGCAAATTGTATTTAACTTTTCTCTTAACTTGAAAAGTAAATTAAGAAGCGACAAACCCAATGAGACTTACAGCCATTTGAACAGTCCTCAGTTGTTAGAGGCCCACAGCTGAGGATGAAAACAAGGAGGAATTCACTTCGACCAGAAGCAAAATATGAAAATCCTAATGCCAATTCCCCCGCCACCCCCAGTCACTATTGACTGAACCCAAGGCCTCGGGCATGGTAGGCAAGTGCTCTACCACTGAGCTACATCCCCAGCCCTTTTTCTTTTTTGGGGGGGAGGGGACAGGGTCTTATTAAATTACCCAGGCTGGCCTTGAACTTGTGTTTCTCCTGCCTCAGCTTCCTGAGTTGCTGGGATTACGGTGTGTGCTGCCATGCCTAGCAATTGTGGACTTCCTAATGGACAAGGTTATCTCCCCCAACAGAGAGCCTTTAGGTTGCCAGAGAAGCTGTGTAGGGTCCTGAGGTGTTTAGAATCTGACTCCTCTACTGCACTAGTCTAGCCCACAAAGCTGGAGCACCATGTGAAATTCTCTGTTGGTGGCTTTGGCTTTAATGCACTGTAGCCACTGGCAAAGGACCTAGGGAGGGTTCAGGGCCTGTAAGTTACTGACTGGGCCCCACCTTTTGGAGAGATCCTTACTTATTTAGGACAGCCAGGGCTCTAACCTTTCTGTCCCTGCAGGAGGGGCCAGTCTGAGCTCCCTGGAGTTGCCCGAGGCAGCAGCTGGCCTATTTGTGTGGCTGCCTGGGGAATGCTGGGCTGCAGGGCAGCGCCTGTCGTCCTTACCTGCAGGCTCTCAGCCCTTCCTGTTAAAGGAATCTGTTGAAATGAGTGCATATGTTCCAAGGCTGGAAAATGCACATCTGGGCTGAAACCAGGACAGCCAAAATGAACAAAATTGAAAGCTCAAAGGAACTCGCTGACCTAGAAATTGCTTGTCCCTGTGCTTCCTCCAGCCTTTTGGTTTTTCCCCTAGACCCAAGATTAAGAAGGCTCAACCTGGTCMAGTATCTGGCTTCCACAGTTATTTAAAGGAAACCCCAAGACCATCGAATGCTAGGTTTTCTGCAGGGATTCTCCCAACAGCTGCATCCAGAGCATGGAGGATAGTTATACTGAGGAGATGTGCTAATCACATGTGATTTCCCTATGCACAGTGTTCAACCCTCCCCAGACCATTTTTTCCACTTAAAAGCTTTTTTATGGCTCTCTTGATAGCAGTCTTCTGGATTTTTCCTCCTCTCTGTGCCGACTTCTCCCTCAGGYACCTCCCTGGCCCAGATCTCCGGTAAGATTGCTGAGCAGAGTCAGGAAGGACCAGAGAAAAATGCAGGGCTTGGCCCCTCTAGACTTGGCTGCTTGGAAGGTGTGGCTCTTATCTTACCTTTGCCCTAGGCACTGACTGAGGTTCTCTTTCCAAACTGTAACATGATATGATTACCCTCTAGACTGGTAGGTTCTAACTCAATTAATTCATGGAAACTCTCTTTGATCTATAAGTTTTCTGAAGTACCCCCTCTTTCACTTCTGTCTCTGTCCATCATTTCTTTTTAAAATGAATCTTGGTTCACTTATTACATCTCTGCAATAGCCACTGGTGGCTAAACTAGTTTCAATCAAGAAAACAGACAAAGATTCTAAGGGTTTGAAAAAAGTTAGGTTCTTGATTTGTCCAATTAAAAGTCAGTGCTCTTTCTTAGTATTAGTAGTACCAGGATTGAATCCAGGGGCTTTTAACCACTGAGCCACATCTCCACCTTTTTTTTTTTTTTTTGTATTTAATTTAGAGACAGGATTTCACTGAGTTGCTTAGGGCCTTACTAAGTGGCTGAAGTTGGCTTTGAACTTGTGATCAGCTTCCTGAGTCACTGGGATTACAGGCATGCACCACTGTGCCCAGCTGCTATTTGGACTTTGAGCCTCCAAAACTATGAGCTAAATAAACCTATTTTGCACCTAAAAACAAACAAACAAACAAAAAAACAAGGCCTGCATATAAAGAATATTCAATAAACATCCACTAATTTTATAGTTCCATGCTTGTGTTCTGTTACTATTCCAAACACTGGATTTATGACTCCCTCATGAGAGGAGGAGCCAATTCTAGGTTTGGGGTTGTTATTAAAGACAGGAATGAACTGGAGTCCCAGGCTTGAGCAGGCTGAGGTGGGAGTAGAGTAGATACCTTGTAAGCAACAGGAACTAGCTGCCTGCCTGGCCCTGGCTAAGAAAAGGAAACTCTTAGACACAAATAAACCCACAAAGAGGAGGGATGACCTCTTTATWAAATGCTGAGGTCAGGAAGAAAGTAGGCTTCTGAACAGAGCCTGAAATTATAAAGCAACATTTTACTCTGTGACATGGTGAAGGCCTRTTTTGAGGTGGGTCCAGATTCTTCATGAGTTGTATTTTACCTTTACTAAGCAATTACAAGGTGGGACCTGTGTGCGGAGAAAGGAGTATGGAAGAGGATCCAGGTTCCCTCCCAAAGCTATGTTCAGAAGCCTTCACACAGGGGAGGCTGGAATTTTGCCCTGCATCCCTGGGGCCTAGGAGGTTGTTGAGGACAGGGACTGTACCATGTAGCTTATGCCCTCTTCAGCATCAGTCAATGTAAATAAAGGAATGGGTTCTTGCCATCCTGAAGACCCTGGAGAAAGCCAGTGCAATTTTGAGTATGTAACTTTAGCAGCAAGCTGGTTGGCTGGCACTGAAAAGAGGGTGATGGAAAATGTAAAATATAATCAGGAAAGAGCTAGACTCTAAAAATAGCTTTATACACCTAATCAAAGAAACCAGTTACTGCAAACTGTACACTCAATATTGTTGGAGCTAGACTTCTAAAAATAGCTTTATACACCTAATCAAAAAAACCAGTTACTGCAAACTGTACACTCAATATTGTTGAAGTAGCTGGTCATGTTCTAGCAGTTGAAATTTTTGCTGATCAGTCCATCTCTGGGAGGAGGGGTGGGTGGGTGAGAAGTCAACCCACCAGACTCACAAATAAATAAAAGCTTGAAAACACAAATGGCTGTAATTATGCTTTGGAATGACGTCTTCTGCAGGCCCAAGATCCCACTGTTTTTTTTCCTGTGTTTATCAAGGGAGACACGGAGTCTGTTCTGCCTGATCCCTTTCCCACGTGATGACTTTCTTCAGCAGCAAAGGCCACATGCAAGGCCTTTCCAAAGTTTCCAGGGTCCAGTTTCCAAGCTACTGGCAGCAGGTGGATGTCTTTATCTCATCCTGAATTGGTCCTAACTTTGGGCAACCTGAGTCCAAGGGAACCATAAGCAAATGGCACACGTACAAAGTTCTGATTGGGAAAGGGTTGACCACGTCTTCCTAGCGGGTCTTACGGAGCCTGGGGACATGCGCTCGGCAGAGCACGCGGGGTTCAAGTGCAGGGGCGGGAGAGATGTCCATGCCTGGGGAACCCACCCGAACTGCGCGCCCCTGTGCGGGGTTTCCGACAGCAGACGTCGGCATATGCCGAGGGTGGGACCGGGCAGGCAGCCCAGGGCCGGCACGCTTTCTGATGCTGGGACAAARGCGGGAGGAGGCAACTCCCCGCGCGGTAACCTGACCAGGACTGACAGGCGGACGGGACGCTTCCCCGCCCTGCCCCGGTCGCGAGCCCTCTGCCGCGGCCCCGCGCGCTGGTCCGGTCGCGGACCCGCGCGAGGCACGCGCCGCCGGCCCCGCCGCAGCTCACCGCCCATTGGCTGGCCCGGCGCGGACGCTCCCGCCCCGCCGCGCCATTGGCTGGGCCGCCGCGGTCCCCGCGCGAGCCACCGCTGACATCACGCGGCCTGCGGCGGCTGTGGCGGCGCCCCCGGCCCAGCCCCGAGCCCCTTCGGCAGAGGTGCCGCTGCGGTGCCGGGCGGAGGATGGTGCGCGGCGCGCCGGGGGTCCCCCGCCGCCAGAGCCGCCGCGCCGCAGCCCAGCTGGACGAGGCGGGCAGCCGACCCCCGCAGCGGGCGCGGGGCGGGCGGCCGCGGTGAGGCGCGGAGGGCGGAGGGGCGCCAGGGCCGGCGGGGCGCCGCAGCGGCCATGGGGGCCCTGACGAGCCGGCAGCACGCAGGCGTGGAGGAGGTGGACATCCCGTCCAATTCCGTGTACCGCTATCCGCCCAAGTCCGGTGAGGGCCGGGGGAGCGGGAGCGGGGCGGGCAGCGCGTCGGGGGTGCCGCGCGAGGCCGCGACCCGGTGGCCGAGGCGGCTCCCAAACCGTCTTCCGCGCGGGAGGGCGTCGAGGAGGCTGAGGTCGCTTCCCACCCTGGCGAGGGGCTGCGCTGGCGCCTGCGGGGTCGCCGAGGTCACCCTCCACGGAGGACGTGAGCAGCCTCCATGGTAATCTGCCCTGCGACAGGGACGCGCGCCTGCAGGGATGCGGCGACGCAGGCGGTCMGCGCGCAGGGCTGCGGGCTCCGCATCGGTGCTTGGCACCTGTACCCGGTGCTGCCCCTGGGCTGCCGCTTCGGTGCYTCCGGGAAGCTTCGAGCTGCTTTTCCCGGAGTAGCTTCCTCTGCCTGCTGGAGGAGGAGGCCGAACCGGCGTGCGCAGTGCTGGTGCAGCCCCAGACGCTGTCAAAAAGAAAAGGCACAAGTGTCTCAACAGGAATGTTTGGAGTCTTGAGTGTCAAAGGCGCTCGGACGGTCCCTCTGCCGCTCTGGGACTKCGCCGAGGTGTTTGAAATGGATGGAATTACTGTGTTTGTTTTCAGAAGCGTACCTTCGCGCAAAGAGGGATCTGCCTCCAGCCGCTGGGTTGCAGCTTCAGCGCTGGAGGTGCAGGAGGATTTTACCCACCGAGGAGAGAGCATCACTAGGTGTCCCGCTGAGTGACAGTCGGCCCGCGTCGGATCTGCTGGCTTCTGACCCAGCTCAGCTATCTGCTCTTTACCTTTGGTGTTACTCTCCAGACTTGCGGGGACCGTGGCTCCCACCTTGTCTCTAGCCTAGGACCTGATGGGAATTCTGGTGATCTGGGATTGAGGTGTCAGAACTGGAGCTGAGCCGACAGTTTCCTTTTGGTAGAATAAAGACGTGTTAATGAGACGAGCTGGTTTCCCAGCAGTAAGTCCAGTTCCTGCCAGGTGAAAGCGGTGGCGGCCAGACAATGAACCTGTCTCCCTGCAGAGTGTCTGCCACAGCTCTTTTTCTCACTGCTTTTGTGCCAAAGAATGAATCCTTGCAGAGATGGGTATGTTTTAAGAGCTGTGTTAGACAGGTCCAGGACAGTGCTATGGGTCGTTAGTATCTTAACAAAACTCTGGCTAATTATGATTTTGTGAAACCAGTGCTAAAGAAGGCATACATCTTGGATTTTTTAGTGGATAAAAATGTGCAGTAGGATTTTTGCATTTTTTTCTTACATCACTTGGCTTTTATTGATCAGGATATCGAGCAAGTTTTGCTGAGCTTGGAGTTTTCAATAGTTTGCTGCCTTACCCTCCTTTAGACTTGATATTTCACAAAGGCAGTTCTCAGAGGGTTTCAACTACAACTGTGAACCTCGGATAATGATAGTAAAAGGATAATGGGCCAACCCAAAACTTCTTTAATACTTATCCACTCTGCCAGTCTTTAAAAGTTTTACCTAGGGCTGGGGATGTGGCTCAAGTGGTAACGCGCTCGCCTGGCATGTGAGTGGCCCGGGTTCGATCCTCAGCACCACATACAAAGATGTTGTGTCCACCGAAAACTAAAAAATAAATATTAAATTTAAAAAAAAGTTTTACCTAATTATAACTCATATTGTTTTTTTTTTTTTTGTGGGGGTGGGGGGCAGTGATGCTGAGGATTGCACCCAAGGCCTTGTGCAAGTGAGGCAAGCACTCTACCAACTGAGCTACATCCCCAGCCCCTGTAACTCATTTTAAATCAGAAGTTATGTATGAGAGAAACAGTATAACAGAAAGTAAAAATCAGAACATCCATGTTCCAGTCAATATACCTTTATGAACATGAAAACTTGGGGGAGTTTGCACATGTGTGCTCTAGGCCAGAGGCATCTCCACCCATCTGATCCTTAAATTGATCTGGCTCTTTATGAATTTATAGTGTTTTGAACCTGACATCATCTGTTGAGTGAATTGGGTCCAGATCCAGATCCACTCATTTTTTTGGTAAGAATGGAGACCCAGAGAAATGAATTGGTGGGGCTAGGGTCATGTAGCAACTTAGATTTTTTGTTTGTTTGTTTGTTTTGGGGATTGAACCCATGCCTTGCACATGCTAGGCAAGCGTCCTACTGCTGAACCATATCCCCATCCCTCATGCAGCAAGGTTTTTGGCCTCTGCTTTTTTTTTTTTTTTATTTTTAATAATACTGAAGTGGAACCCAGGGGCGGTGTACCATCTGAGCTCCATCGTCAAACCTTTTTATTTATGTATTTATTTTTATTTCAAGACAGGGTTTCACTAAATTGCCCAGATTGACCTTGAACTTGTGATTCTCCTGCCTCTGCCTCCTGAGTTGTTGAGATTACAGGCGTGTGTGCCACTACACCTGGGTAGTGCCCTTCTTTGTAGCATCTTTCTCTGCGTTTTACATGGACAGTCTTGTCCATGATGATTGTGGAGTGGAGGCTATTTTCTGTAAGAACCAAGGTAAAACTGAAGAGGATTGTCCCTGTTGAGGAATCAGACTGGGTTGATTGTTTTTTTTTTCTTTTTGTGTTGGGGTACCAGGGTTTGAACTCAGGGGTATTTGACCACTAAACCACAACCCCAACCCTATTTGTATTTTTATTTAGAGACAGGGTCTCACTGAGTTACTTAGCACCTTGCTTTTGCTGAGGCTGGCTTTGAACTTTTGATCCTCTTGCCTCAGCCTCCCGAGCTACTGGGATTATAGGCATGAGCCACCGGGATTATAGGCATGAGCCACAGTGCGTGGCTAGACTGGGTTGATTTTAAGAAGTGTCCTTAACCTGCTTATTGATAGTGGAACAAAGCAAAGAGCAGGTCTTAGCTTTCTCTAGGTGATGGAACATGCCTAGAGACCAAGTGGAGACTACCCTCTGGCTCTCCAGTACAGAAAGACACTTTATCATCTGTTATGTTAGTCATCCTAGGAGAAATTGCTACCCCTTCTTCCCTCCCTCCCTCCCTCCTTCCCTTCCTTAGTTTTTTTTTTTTGGAGGGGTACTGGGGATTGAACTCAGGGGTACTTGACCACTGAGCCACATCTCCAGCCCTATTTTGTATTTTATTTAGAGACAGGGTCTCTCTGAATTGCTCAGGGCCTTGCTGTTGCTGAGGCTGGCTTTGAACTCAGTCCTCCTGCCATAGCCTCCCGAGCTGTTGGGATTACAGGTGTGTGACACCGCACCAGGCTAAATTTTTTTTTTAATTTACTTTTTTATTTAAAAGAGAGAGAGAGAGAGAGAGAGAGAGAGAGAGAGAGAGACAGAGAGATTTTTTTTTTTTTAGTTTTTGGCGGACACAACATCTTTGTTTGTATGTGGTGGTGAGGATCGAACCCGGGCCGCACGCATGCCAGGCGAGCGTGCTACCGATTGAGCCACATCCCCAGCCCCCCAAAATTTGCTTTTTAATTGTAGGTAGACACAGTAACTTTATTTTTTTGTGGTGCTGAGGATTGAACCCAGTGCCTCACTCATGCTAGGTGAGTGCTCTACCTTTGAGCCACAACCCAGCCCCCAGCTAAGATTTGTAATAGATATTAATTTTACGTTGAACTTGAAATATTTAAAAAATTACTGAGAATGGCTGATTTCAAGTTGACTTGAGTTCACTATTTTTTTTTGCGGAGAGGCATTGGATATTGAACTCGGAGCCTTGTGCATGCTATGCAAGTACTCTCCAACTGTGGTACATCTCCACCTGACTGGTTTGGGGCATACAGTGAAAGTCTTATTTTCACTMCTATTGTCCATCTACCTAGTTCCCCTTCCTCTCCATACATCCCCATTCCTATGCCACCACTGCTGGCTTTTTTCTATTTCTTCTAGAGTTTCTTTTGTAAACACAAACATACATGCTGTTTAGACTGTTCTTTGTTCTTTCACTTTCAGAAATATTGGAGATCTTTTTACATTTTCTCCAAAAGAACAAGGTTCCTTGTTCTTTTATTTAAATAGATTTTTTATACTTTATTCATTTATTTATTTGTTTTTATATGGTGCTGAGGATCAAACCTAGTGCCTCACACATGCTACATGAGCGTTCTATCACCGAGTCCCAACCCCAGCCCCTCCTTGTTCTTTTTAACAACTGCATAATATTTTTCTGGGAGTGTATCACCATCATTATGATGGGGCACTCAACCACTGAGCCATTTTATTTAGAAACAGGGTCTCACTGAGTTGCCTAGCACCTCACCGTTGCTAAGACTGGCTTTGAACTCATGATCCTCCTGAACTCATCAACCTCCTAAGCCTCTGGGATTACAGGCATGTGCTACCTCGCCTGGACTCATAATTTTTTTTACACAGTCTTATTGATGAACATTTGGCCTTTTTCAGAATTTTACAGTTGCAAAGAGTACAGCAATGAATAATGTTATGCATATGTTCTTAGGTGATTGTTAGTTTTGTTAATGAATGCACAAATTTTATTAACCTTTTAAGTAACAGAGGCATGATGGGGATTAGTTTTCTGTACAGTATTTGTTTTCTGTTAGCATAGAGAGCAATTTTTCTTTTTGGTACTGGGGAATTGAACCCAGAGGTCCTTAACCACACATCCCAGCCCCTTTTATTTTATTTTTTGAGACATGGTCTCATTAAATTGCTTAGGGTCTTGCTAAATTGCAGAGGCTGGCTTTGAACCTGTGACTCTCATGCCTTAGCCTCCTAGTCCCTGGGATTACAAGTGGGTGCTTTTGCTGCATTTGGTTGTGACTTTGAACTTTTTGAGTTAGAGGCCATAGGTGCTTTTAATCCTTATCTAAGATCTTTGTTTCTTCAAAAGCTTATGATCATTTGTTTAGAGATGGTAATTTTTATGCATATGTGCCTACTTTCTGACAGGAGTATCTTCATTAATAGAAGTCATTGGGCCTGCTTTCTGTATCCAGGAAGAAATAAGCATGCTATAAAGACAACTAAATCATGTGAATCAGTACCTCATAAAATTTGGCTAGTTTCTCTATACATATTTGAACAAATTAT